AGTCTTCCTCACTCTTAGATGACCTCCTACAAGTAATTTGTGTGCTATCCACAATACTTTCTCCCTGTATTCTCCCAGCAATACAATCTGGTGAACTTCCGCCCAATTCTCATCTGCCAAGGTCTCTATTTCCACCTAAAGATTTTATCCTTAAGGTAATAATATTCTGGAATACATTCTGATTCCTTTTACAAGTAGGCTTTATGATATAAATCCTTTATCGTCTCATCTTTTATCGTCGGTCCATTAACCTTTTAGAACTAAACACCTCTGCCTGATCCTCTACCTGCTTAGGTTTTTCCTTTATCATTTCATCAGGGTGTCAGCTAATTGGACCGCAACTCTTTCATCTTTCTCTTCTCTTCTTTTTTCCCTTCTTGTTTTAGCTTACGGCTGTGGGATCTTGTCACCACACAATCCAGAAAAAAATCCAGTGTATTTCCTTTTAGCTCCTCAGTTCCCTGGTTTTCTTTTGACCTCCCCACTACAATGGGCATCACTCCCACCTTTGATCAGCTATGTTGTTTCCACGAACAAACTTTATTCCTGGAGTAGCCAATCTTTCAATCACTCCCCCTATCACTTCCCCAATCTTGATTGGATTTCTAGCCTTATCTTACACAGGGGAACACTAATTCTCTTTCCATTTCTTCCACAGACTGTCATTCTTGGGCAGCATTTCAGAAGGAGTGCAAACATTGTCATCTCTTACTATTAGAGACTGACCACATCTCTAAATATGTTAACTTTTTTACCTACTCCCCCTGTTCTACCTGAGTAAACTTTACCCACACAGGTGAAGTCTTTGAAAAGATTGGGCATTATCTTACTTTCTAGGCCATGATTAGGCTATGCACTCTCCTGCAGCTCCTTGACTTCTCTTGGGAATTCCTTCACTACCTCAACTAATCTCACTGCTTTAGCCTCTTTTACCACATTCTTTTTCCCAGTGCCTCTCTTAAACCACCAGCACTGTGACTTTGTGTGTCCTACCTTATTGCAGTGGAAACACCTGAGGTCTTCCAAATCCTTTTTACCCTCTTGGGTTTCTGTTTTTACAGTGGTAAACTGCTCCCAGTGTAATCTCCCTCCTTCCCAATTTCTAGCCCTCACGAATGAAATTGCTGTCGGAAGTTAGCTTTCAAATTTATGCACTAAAGCGTATTTGTCTGCCATTTCTTCTTGATGTTTTAACATTCTGTTCCTCAACATGAGTTCTTTTCATGTCTGGAAGTGAGTTTCTAAACTCCTCCAACAGAATAACATCTCTAAGATCCTCATGCATCTTTTCTAGCTTTAATGCTCTCACCCATCTATCAAAGTTACTCTGTTTAATTCTTTCAAACTCGATATTAGTCACCTGGTTCCTTCCTATATTTCTGAACTGTTGTCTATATGCTTCTGATACCAATTGTTAGGCACTCAATACAGTCTGTTTTACTCCTTCATATTCTCTTGACACCATAAGACATAGGAGCAGAAATTAGGCCATTCGGCCCATCGAGTCTGCTCCGCCATTCAATCATGCCTGATAAGTTCCTCAACCCCATTCTCCTGCTTTCATCCCGTAACCCTTGATCCCCTTGATAATCAAGAACCTATCTATCTCAGTCTTAAATGTACTCAATGACCTGGCCTCTACAGCCTTCTGTGGCAGTGAATTCCATGGATTCACCACTCTCTGGCTGAAGAAGTTTTTCCTTATCTCCATTCTAAAAGGTCTTCCCTTTACTGTAAGGCTGTGCCCTCGGGTCCAAGTCTCTCCTACCAATGGAAGCATCTGCCCAACAGCCACTTTGTCTAGGCCATTCAGTATTCTGTAAGTTTCAATTAGATCCCCCCTCATCTTTCTGAACTCCAATGAGTATAGTCCCAGAGTCCTTAAACGTTCCTCATATGTTAAGCTTTCCATTCCTGGGATCATTCTCGTGAACCTCCTGCTCCAGGGCCAGTACATCCTTTCTGAGATATGGGGCCCAAAACTGCACACAATACTCCAAATGTGGCCTGACCAGAGCCTTTTAAAGCCTCAGTAATACATTCCTGCTTTTATACTCAAGTTCTCTGAAAATAAATGCCAACATTGCATTTGCCTTCCTGACTACTGACTCAAGCTGCAAATTTACCTTGAGAGAATCCCGGACAAGAACTCCTAAGTCTCTTTGCACTTCAGACTTCTGAATTTTCTCCCCAGTTAGAAAATAGTCCATGCTTTTATTCTCCTTACCAAAGTGCATGAACTTTTGTCAGGAACATTAACTATTTGTGCCATAGGTACCTTTAACTTACGTGGAGCTTACTCTAAGGCTTAGAGAATTGTGAGAGAGAGACAATGATTCTTTTAGAGCTGAGAGCTGTTCTCTTAGCCGATGACGGTTGGCTCTCTCCCGATTTTTGCAAATGTCCTCATCTTTCATACCCTTGATGATGTATCAATTTCTTATAGGATTGGTCCTATGTTGTCAACACCATCAGATTTAAATTTAATTGGTTTTTGGTATCTGAGGGCCTAATTTAAATTAATTAACTAAATTTGAAAACCTGTTGTCTTGGTTAAAATGCTGTTTTGCCTGCTAACGGTATACCCTTTTGATACAAATGTTTCAATTCAGGTGCTCGGTGTACCTGCAAACCCACAGACATCCTTTTTGAATCTCTAAGCATAGAAAAAGGACATCATCTTTCAAAGGGATCATGCACTAGTTTCCCCATAGCATTTAACAAGCACCAAACTGTAATGTCCTGCCTTCCATTCCACAAGTACTCTACTCAACTTTGCAACATTGAGGAACTGAGGCCCTCACTTTTTTTAAGTGAAGGCATTAAAAAATGTAAGACAATTCAATAGATAATTGTTACAGTATCAGTATTTTTCATTAAGGAAAAATGGCAGGGGAAGCATTTATATGAAACATTTTCAAGAATTTTGAACAATATGTGCAATTACAAGGCAATTGATTTAGGGAGAAGATTTTCATTATCAGAAAGGCATAAGTAGGTTCAGGAGTTCATTCAGCCCTTCAGACCCACTCCATTATTCAACACAATCATAGTTGATCTATTTCAGTACCATTTTCCTGCACTATTTGTATTTGTTGATTTTAATACAGAGAAATCGGTCAATCCCTGTCTCATGCATACATGCTCAATGACTGAGCCTCCACAGTTTAAGGAGCAGGAAATTCCAAATATTCACTACCTCTGAGTGAAGAGATTCTCCCTCATCCTAGTCCCTTATTTTAACTCTGCTTCCTGGTCCTAGAACCCAGCCTTCCTACATCTACCCTTTCAATTCCTGTGAGAGTTTAGTACATTTGAATGAGATCACCTCTCAATTTTCTAAATTCCAGAGAATATAGGGCCAGAAATTGCTGGAAAAGCTCAGCAGGTCTGGCAGCATCTGTGGAGAGAAATCAGAGTTAACGTTTTAGGTCGAGTGACCCTTCCTCAGTTCTGCATCCACTGTTCTCTCAGTTTCCATTAACTGAACAAAATCAAAGTTGCTGGAAAAGCTCAGCAGGTCTGGCAGCATCTGTGAAGGAGAAAACAGAGTTAACGTTTTGGGTCCGGTGACCCTTCCTCAGAAGTTCTGAGTACAACCTGTCTTCAGTTTTTGTGTTCGTTTGTATTAGCTTTAAAAGCCCCATTGCAAAATAGGCTGTGGCCTGAGATGAATTAATCACCTTTGGGAGATTTTGCTAATTACCCTTGATTGTCACCCGTCAGGGAGATGTTAAAAATTAAGCTGGTGCTTCTGGGCACATGGGCACCAATTTTTTTTTGCGATTTCTCTGTACGTCTGATGAACAAAGTTTGCTAAAACTGTTGGATTCTTTTTCATCTTGACCCCTTGCCCCATACTAAATTTACTTTTGGTTTCAAATGTCTCTGGGAATTAATTCTTTCAATCTGTTTTAATCGAAGTATTTTCACTTTTGTTCATACGTTTGCTTGCAAGGTTTATGTTCAAATGCTTCTTTTCCCTTTTTATTTCTTTCCCCCCCACCCACCCACCCCCAACTTCTGCCAGAGTTTTCTTCCTAAGTATAGACCATTCCAATACAGAGATTGGATAACACAGCTGTTGCGTACCTTAGTGTCTCATGGTGTAAAGCTTGAAAGCATTGGACCATTCCCACTTCATTCCATCCTCAAACTTGCCATAAGGACCAGTAAGTAACTTTATTTTTAATAAACCTGTTTATTGAAGTTATTCTTTGCAGGTATTAGTCTTGACTCAATGGTGGCACTCCCATTTATGATTCAGAAGATCATAGGATCGATGCTACTGTAAAACAATACACACATGATTTTGGTTGCCATTCTGAGCCAGATTTCCGTTACCAGAGCAGAAATTACCCAGCTTGTCGGACTGTCTTTGGTTTGAATGGCCCCTTTTTGCTGCTGATAGATGGGTCAAATGGAGTCCGGCACACTGACCCCTGAAACGGACCATAGTCACCACAACGATTGCCATTTCAAGAACTGAAGCAGGCTGGTTAGAAGATCCAACTCCATTCTGTAGGCTTTCGTCTATGTTATGTTAGTTGCAGTTAGGCTTTCCATGTTTCACCCATTCACTCGCTTACCATACCAACTCCAGGCCCTCCTTGCCACTTTCATGCCCTCCATGGCCCTTCCATGCCCATTCACACAGAATGCACTAAGTATGGAACCAATTCGCACAAGTCTGCCAGTTGTTGAAATGCTGAGAAAAAAGAACACTCGTTGAGTAATCTTCTTTGAATATATACTGCTGCTCTACAATCCTATTAAGGGATCACCATGTCAGATAATTAATGTATCAGTATGTTACAGATAAGGGGATGTTAAATGAAAGAAAATCTCTGATATTCACTTTATAAGTAACAAGTAACGATTTATTTATTTAACCCTAACAGTGAACAAATGACAGAATTACTAACAAATCAAACAATTCCCCCATAACTACTAACACTTCCCTAACTGAACTTAATTCTTCTGGTATGCTGTTCCAATACGCACAAGTTCCACTTGCATAAACCCAAGTAACAAGAAAATAAATTACAGCTTAATCTGTTAAAGTCTATACGCCTTTATTCTGCTGTTCTCATGTCATAAGTTCCTTTCTTCCGCTAATCTGGCTGTCAGGGATGTTTTCTCTGAAGTCTTCTGTGAAGACACTTAGCTGGAAGTGCCGTGGTACCTTTTATGGATAGATGGTGCTTTCTTAGAGAGCTTAGCGATTTCTTGTGAGAGCTAGATGCTTTTTCTCAGATGGTGGTTCGCTTTCACACCGATTTTCACAAACCCTCTCCTTATATACCTTGGATGACATATCAATTTTCTTACAAACGCATTGGTCCGAGGTTGTCAAAACAATCAGATTTAAATTCCATTGGTTTTCAATTGCTAAATGCTTGGTTTAAATTAATTGGCTGATTTCACCTCGTTGCCAAAACATCAAAACAAGCCTAAGGTTTCCAATCACACAGCCAATTAATTGATGTATGTTTCAATTTTAGAACTGGCTGTATGTCTTCAGCTACATACAGACGCATTCTTTTTTCCTGTATAAATCTCTAAGCTTAGAAAAGCACTTTACCTCTTAAAAGAACCACACACTATTCTCCCTTATCATTTTTTAAACAAATAAATTCTCGTTTCCTGCCTTCCAATTCACAATTATTCTACACAACGTCGTAACTAGTAACAGAAACTTTAAACATTTAACATTTCATAATCTTGTTTGTGGGACCTTGCCGTATGTAAATTAGATACCGGCTTCATTTTGCAATTGTGACTGAACTTCAAAATACATATTCGTTATGAAGTATTCTAGGAAGTCCTGAGGTGATGAAAGATGCTACGTAAATGCAATTTCTTTGTTTTGAATACAGTGAACTTTACTGATGTTATCGTAGTCTTGGGCAGTATTTATTTTTAATGTATACATTGTATAGTATGCTTACAGCCTAGGGCCTAACCATTTACATGAGATGAATTTTAGGTCATATCCATTCTATCATTAATTACATTCAATATATAAAAAAACGGAAGAACTGCAGATGCTGTAAATCAGGAACAAAAACAGAAGTTGCTGGAAAAGCTCAGCAGGTCTGGCAGCATCTGTGAAGGAAAAAAA